TATTACATGTCAAAAAACAAGCCACTTGATCTAATGCAGACTTTAATTGAAACTCGTTAACCTTTACTCGCTAAAGTGCTGGTATGGAATAAGTGACACAGGATTTATAACAGAAACATAGTGGAGAACCGAAGCTCCCATTAACGGATAGATCACCCAGATAGGAGTACATTATGAACCTGAGGAATTTAGATGTAAACCATTTTTTACTTTTTTAAAATTTTATTTGTTTCAAATTTCCACCGACGCCTACTTCTCGTTTATTGTTGCCCCTAGGTGTTGAGAAATGCCTTAGAAGAAATAAAACTTCAATACATATATAAAATATGTGTGTGTGTTCTATATTTTATTCTACATTCAATGGAAGAAGAAGGGGTCCATATCAAAAGCGCTCGGATTGCCGTGCAGTTCTCCCTTAAAGCCTGGTTTCACAATTTAAGCTAGCATCTGAGCTTGCCTAGAAGTGCAGCTACTCGCACCGTGTGACCGCATCATACGAGTAACTGTCATGTGCGAGTAGGTCAGTAAATAGCATTCGAGTTCCTAGGACATTTTTCGTTTTGACTCACCGCTAGCTTTCCTTCACCCCGCCGCAAGCAGCCATTCGCCTGTGACTCGCACATCAACTTGCGGACAAGCATGGCGAAATGGCAGAAGTTCTTCGTCTTGGACCACGCCGGTGCATTCTTTTCGTTTTGATGAATGTGTTTTCTGTTTTTCTGTTTTTATGTTCGCATATAAAAATAAGAAAACATTCCCTCTCCACAATTTAAATCATCCCTTTGAATTCGGAATTATTTCATTTAGAACCTCGGATCGTGTGCCTCTGCGTACAGCGTTAATAACATGCATTCTGTTACGGAGTCGTTATTTATTTAAGAGTGATCCTAATTTTTGTATCCTGTAGATGAAGGCCGTTAATTGGCCTAATTTACTGAGTCAATTGTTTAATCGTATTGTAGAGACTAAGGCATTGGATTAGGGATTTTCCAACTATGCAACTAGCTTAAATAAATTGGATGGAACTAGCAACCAACGCATCAGGTGTAAATAAAAGAAAAATTTTTTCTAACCACTCTTAATAGGGCATTTTATCAAAACTCCAGCAACTGATTGTTTTATAAACTAAATAAACAAGAACTCAAAATCGGAAGGTTTGGAGAGTTATCGGGAGGCTGGTCTATCGGCAGCAACTTCTCTTTATCTTCTGACTCCCTGCTGCCGCATGTCTGCCTCAATGTCGTCCAACCATCTCGTCATACGACTTCAATGTCTTCAGGCAACTCTAGGGTTTCAATTCATTAAACTTGTCTATACACAGAATGCAATGAGACTCGGCGATATGATATTCCTGCTGGGAGCGAAATAGCGATATATATCACTATCTATTGCATAATAACAGTCACACTAATGCACACCGACAAAGGGATATACTATTGCTGGAACACATTGCGTTCTGAGTGTAGAAACCTAAATTGGTTTGGAAGGCGATTGTTCTCTAATTCTCTTCCACTCTCTTCGAGAACAGACCAGTCCGTGTATTCTTCTGTGCTTATGAGTGTCTTTCTACGTCCTGCGTCAGGACTCATGTCTCGCTTCTATAGATAACTACTGAGTGCATAATGGCTCTATAGAAGGTTATAAAGCTTAATGTATTGCTGACTATAAAGTAGCAACGATTTCCTCCTGCAATTCGACCCTCAATTTCTTTGTGGAGCTCAATTTTTTGGTGAAAAGCGATCCAAGATATTTGGAGTCCTCACAAACTGGAAAACTGGGTTCATTGATATTAATAGAATATTGATTAATATTGAAAGATTGTAGGTTCGCTTAAGAAAGAGACAAACAGGCTGAGGAATGCGTTTGTGATTTGAACCAAAAATAACTTAAAAGAAAAATATATTTGGAGCGGAATGATTTTTCGAAAGTCGGAAATTACCAAGTACTAAAATGAGACCATTTCTGTTTGACAGGACTATCGAAAGGATAAAAGACGCCTCTAAGAATCGACTAATGATCCGCCTAGAAAGAGTATTTCAGTTCCCAGCGACAGCTGATCAAAGGGCAGAACCAACTAATTAAAATATAATTAATTGAGGGCTTTGACAGATGTCTTTGAAGGCCCTGACATGAGAATTGTCAACATAAAAAATCCGGCAACCTCTTTCTTCTGATCGAGTTCTCCCACTGTTCCTCCTCGGGTATTCAAGATGATTATTTCTTGAAAGGAAGTCCTGAAGGATATGATTGATTCAGGACCTCCACAGAAGAAACTTTCAATCTGGACTCCATTAATAATGTCTAGGCGCGTGCCCACGCTACTGGGCTTCAAAGGACCGCTTCTTTCTCGATGAAAGCATTGCTGAAGAATGACTTGTGAGATGTGGTCAGTGACATTTCGAAGATTCAAAAAAATGTTTAAACAGTCAATGATCAATTGAGGTTAATGTTGGAAAATTATAAATATAAGATAAACATTAACAGGACAAGTTGTTCCTCATCGTATGATGATACATTTTCGAATATCCAATAACTATGAGACCGGAAACCTCATTTACAGACTTTAATATTTATAGAAATATTATGCAGTTTCAAAATGAAATTTATTTCTATGAATACAAAAATTTTAGCTTCTATGAACCTTTCCAGTATAACAGGTCATATTAATATAGATCGGACTAATATAACAAGACTGTAATCTACCAGTGGAATATGACGATAAAATTTGGGGCAACAAAAAGTCATAGAATAGTAAAGATTAAATCAATGATTCAAAAGAAGAACTATGAATTGCTTTGATTCTATAGAAATTATTGAATGACTTCATCAAAAATTAAATACAGAAAGTCGATTTCACTGAAGTTTTATAATAGGGAATAGACTTGTGACATACAAAACATAGTAATCAGTAAATTAAATTATGTTTTCGTCGTAAACCAACGACTTCCTGTCCTACAGTTTCCTTTAACAATACTCCACTTATCCCTGTTGAGCAAATCCGATACCTAGGACTCCACCTGGACAAACGACTAACTTGGAATCCTCATACTAGACTGAAAGGACAAGAAACCGCTCGACGATTCCGATTACTTCAGCACTTACTAGACAAACGATTAAACTTCCAATTAATTACAAAAGACTCATATACATGACTATAATAAGGCCTATTTTGACTTACGGAGTTGAGCTATGGGGCTCCACTAAACCATCAAAGTCCTCTCGTATCCAATCCTAACAATCCAAAATCCTTCGTAAAATCCTCAATGCTCCTTACTTTGTCTCTAATAAAATTATCCATAAAGATCTTAATGTTCCTTATGTTTCAGATCTGACCCAATCCAGATACCTATCCTTCCATAATAAACTTCAGAATCATCCCAACCCTCTCGTTTCTAACCTTGCTTCCTCTTCAATTCCTGATAACCCTCCGAGGCACCTGAAAAGAAGATGGCCCCGTGATCTCCTAATGTAGTCATATCATTGCTACCATTGGGTAGTTACTCAGCAAGTGTATTTGTCATTATATCTATTATGTCCAAATTTACTTGATGTATTTATGTAATACAGTTGTAAATGTAATTAAGAAATTAAAAAAAAAAATTATGTTTTATTATTTATATTTTATGGTTGCCTATTCGATCAGTAACGAAGTTTCATTCTCAATGTTACCTTGCAAATGATATCTTCTAATCGAATTAGAGCTGTGCTCACAATGGAAATTAAATATTCATCTAACCTAAATTTGAGCCTTGAGGACATTATTATTTATTTTTAAGAGGACATTGTTATTAACATTACTCAACTACCTTTCCATGACAATTGATGAATTTGAAAAATATAAAAGACCGATCTGTGTTGAAAATATGGGATTGAATCCTACTACAATACATAGTCCTGTAAGAGTCAACGCCCCTTAACTAATGAGAGTTTGTAGTCTAATTGAACTGTCATAGCAAACTATGGATCATTAATTAATGAATGTTCTCACATGACCTAATGACTATTCTTAATGGCATAGCAACGCTACTGCTTATATTCATTCATGGTATGGTGGTGTGCGCTGATTTGCATAATTTGATACATCAATTATAATGATCGCCTTAAGTAAAATTATTTTACCATTTTTAAAAATATTATAAGTAATTTATGAATGTTCTGATTACTCAAAATGACCAAGGTTGTAATGTTTCAGTGCCTGATCTTTATTGATTGAGAAATGGCACCTGTTTGAATACGATTCCCCGCCATAAATCTCACTAGGGTTAGAACAGAGGCTCAGGATTTGTATCAGGAGGGCCTAGCTTAATTTTACCGGCCCTTCTTTTCATAGAAATCAGCAAATTATCCAAATATTTTTGTAATATATTTCGAAATAAGTATCACAAGCACGAAATATATCTCATGTTTTTTATTTAAGCTATACAAATTTGGCTCGAAGTTTGTCAATATCTAAATTATGTCGCGGGCAAGTGCTTATTAGAGCCATGCACGGGTCGGCAACTTTTAAGATGAACCTCTATTAATCTTTAAATCTAAACTTTCGTCCTACTTAGAGTATATTATGAGATTAAACGGAGTAAAGGGATAAACGAAATGAAATTATGCTGTTTCTAGCTAACTGTAAAATAATAAACATTTATATGTTGAAGAAAACTTTTCTAAAACATTTGTGTTTTTTTTTTGTGAAGGTGGAAAAACGCATTTCGATTATTTTAATATATAAAAATATTACATTTATTAATAATGACGCATCATAAGACGTATGATGCGGAAAATGCGTTTAAAATATAAATTTAATTTTAATTACAGCAATGCTTCTATTTAATAAAAATTATTATTGCCCTATCTTCGAAATTACTGTAATTTGTAGTTATTGTGCTTATTTAGGTTGTTCTAGGTCAGAAACTGAAATCAGCAAGAATCCTGACGTAGGACAATGGAGGTTCCTCGAAGAAGAAATTCACACTACCAGAAAGCGTGGACGGTCCTGGTTACGCTGGATGGATGGTGTTATCAAGGATGCACGTTCATTCTGCAAATTCGGAACTGCAGATCGGCTATACGACATCGAGATGAATAGTGGACTTTGCTTAAGGTGATTATGACCTCTCACGGATCGTAGAGCCATGGCAGACGAAGAGGAAACTAGAATAATATTAAGTTCGTCATTATTTTCCAAGGAAGAAGTCAAAGTTTCATCATACATTTTGATAAATCGGTTTCAGTTGTCATGTCTTTTTTTATATGAATATGTAGGAAGTACTTAACGAGAGTACCTTGAAGTAACATATCAACTTAAACTGACTTAACCTAACCTGATTTAAATTATCTGCTACGTTGCCTTAGGGTTCGGTCGACTACGCCACCTTTAAGAAACGTTCGGTTTGTTTCAAGATTCCATGTACAGCGTGAAAAAATTGATCTTGAAACCAGCCACCATCTTGGAGAAGTGATTCGCAAATAGTGGCGATGTAAGTATAATGGCTATTTCCTTAATAGTTCCTATTGTTATAGAAAAGATCCTTAAGAATTGGTAGCATCAAGAAACTTTTAAATAAAATCTATGATTACTTTTAAACATATGTTGAACATAAAGTAATGTGTTAATAATCTATTATATCTGAATTTTTCAACATATAAAAATTGTAAGTAAAGTAGTTTGTATTGTAAATTTCAGTGTTCTATTAGTTCAAAAATAACGAATGAATATTATGGACTTTTTGATTTCTGTTTCTAAACACTGTAGATGCGGTTTTAATTCCATCAGTAGTCGACACACGGAGGAAAAACAAAAATGGAAAAGAAATAATGAAACTGGCAGGAGTGGGCTTCCTAGCATAGTTAGGTCTATCCTGAATAGAAAATGGACGGGAAATATCTTTAACAAATATTTTCGACTAAGAAGGAAAATCAAAACTAACATCAATAATTCGAAGACATCAATTTCTAAATCTGAGATTGAAGATGAACTTGAACCTATTACTATCAACAAAGTCTGTGCAGATCTGTCTGATCCAGGATCCTCTGGAATTAATGAGGCTTGGCGTTCAATATTTGTCGATCTTACCAAAAAGGGCTCCATGACGTATCTAATATTTGTAGATCAAGAAACCTTACACCCGGAAGTCTTTGAGTTAGGCGTCAGGTCATTATGGAAGCAGACAAAGCGTGCATTTAGAGATGTCTTTAGGGAGTATCGGATCCCGGTTGAGATCCATACCTCAGAGAAAGTGTTCTTCAGTAATGGAAAGTTCGCCAGATTCATGAAGGATCATGGAATTGTCACGGCAATAAAGTCTGATGCTGAAATCAGTTTGGTTAATGTATTAGCAGCTGTCAAGGTAATAATACACAATGCCAGATTTTGGCATGAAGAGTTAAGAAAGTTGAGAGAAAGTATTTCGAAAAGTTTTCTTTCGACAAAAGACGAATGTGTACAAGTAGAGGTCGCATGTGAAGAAGATACAAAGTTGTCCATGTCTGATTTGAGCAGTGAAGGCAGTTCTAAAGCTAGAAACGATGATTTTGATTCCGTCATAGGAACATGCCAAAATTATCTGGAAGAAATTTCAATTGATAAGGAAAGGTCCAGGATTAAATCTATGTTACTAAATAAACAAAAACAAATAAATGATAGGAAAGATGTTAATCCTGAGATGGTTAGGCATAATGAAGAGGAAGTAGACTGGATGCATTACCTGAAGAGCTTTAGGATGAAAACAAGCAAAGTGAATAAAATAAGCACTGCTGGTGTCGATATTAGCAAATGTCAGCCTTTTGAAATATCCTTTACCAGAAATGTAACAAGTGTTCACCATTGCGAAATCGACCAAAGTCTTGTTAAAATTCCAGGGATTTGGAAAAGGACTAAAAGTAAACTGTTAAAGAAAATTAATTATTACTGCCATAATCAGGATGATGGCTCAACGTTTCACGAAAATTATGACGAGATGTTGAATTACTTATCAAGATCCAGCCGAGCGGAAATCATCATAAATGATGAGAATAATGAAACCGTCGATTTTTCTAGAAATAATGAAATTGTTTTGAAACTTTGTAAACAAGATTCAGGCGATAACTGCTCTGACAGTGGTAGTATTCCAAATAGCACAGGTGTCCAGGGTTGTGGTTTAACTTCTTTGGACGATATTCTTATCAGATTCCCTATAGAAATACTACCTTACAAATATGATAATTTGTATATAACCCAAAATGATCTCAACTGGAAAGCAGTAGTGTTAGATGTCTTTGAACATTCAGAAAAGTCTTATTATTTGTTCATTGACTGTGCCACCAATTTTCCAGAATTGTTTCTTCAAATCGAAAACAATGGAAGTGCTAATGTTAAATATTTAATCAATGCTCTTTGTCGCCTTTGGCAGATTCATGGAAAACCAATAGAAATTCATTCTCCCAAAGGAAATTTATTTTCTTGCCCAAAACTCAGTAAGTTTATTGAAAAGTACGATATGTTCTTTTACTATGACAGTCCGTTTCTAAGAAATGACATGCAAATTGGTCACATTTGGATGAAATATAAAAAGATTTTAGGAGAAGGCAATATTTATACGGAGCTATTAAAGATACAAAGAAAGATTGGGAAGATGAATAAACGAAGAAAAAAGAGAGAAGAGAATAAAAATCATCAAAAAACACTATTTTCATTAAACAATAGAACTATTGCAAACGATACGGATCATCTCATGACTAATGCAGTCAAAGGAATACTCCAAAAGGAAACTATGAATTTTACTCAACAAATTTCTTGGAGAAAAATAATTGTGGATATACTTTACTGCAATCATAATTATTATATGATATTTATTGATATAGAAACATTATACCCAGAGATCAAGGAAATCGAACAAGCCTCCAAGTTACATTCAGCAAGATTGCTAATCAGAAATTTTCGAAACTTTTTTAATGAAAAGTCAACTTCCGAAGAAATTCATGTCGCAGATAAGTGGCCTTTCAACATAAAGGGTGTCATCGGGTTCATGGAACATATCGGTGTCAATTACTGTAGGCAAAGTCGTTACTTCAACGGCGGAAGCTGTTTCTACAAGTGCCTCGAGCACATGAAATCAGTGATATGTCATTCTGCAGATCTGAAGTCAGCGGTATATATTTGTAAGAAGAAATTGCTTCCTTGGCTTGGTCTGTCTCCTCAGCAGATGGCCCATGGTATGAGGATGAATCCACTGTTCAATTGCATTATTCCACCTTGGGCTGAAATAATAATTGACATATTTAGTCATGAACAAAAGTGTTACCTGATAGTATTCGATTACACTTCTCTATATCCTGAATGTTTTCAGATGAGGAGACATTTCATTCCAAACTTATCAGTCATTAAGGCTTGTGAACGATCATTCTCAGTTCTTGGCTGCCCTTCAAAACTATGGACGTTTGATCGCACATTTACCAAGTCTGATTCATTTAAGAAATTCCTTCGAATTAGAGGCATCCAACAATTCTTTTTGACTCCACAGAAAGAGCGAGAAACGAGCAGCATGCTTGCAAGCTTCCGACAGAAGTTGAAGATATCAGGCTCCTTAGATTCCGCTCTTGTATCGACTAGAGGGGCTTACAATCGCTTCATTGGCGCCTGCCCCGTGAGAAAGTTGCGAGAAAAGGAGACAGCAGTGAGTGAAGCACTTCAGGCTGCCATGCATCAAAGGAGGCATGTAAGGTTCCATTTATCTCAGAGTAGCTTCAACGATCTATTCTCGAGTGACTCTGATGAAAATTATTAGCTTTCTCTCTACAGTATGCAGATAAAATTTAGTTCATAAATCCGATATATTTACGTTCCTAAACCCACCTTCGTAATGCATACTGCATTTGATAAATTTATTTATTTACTCAGCTGTATTTCGTTATTATAATTGAGATTAAAACTTTTTCAAATGGAAGTAGTTTTTGTTTCCTATATAAACGGATTTATGTTGCTGTCTTAATTTTATGATTCCTAAATTGATTAAGAAATCTTATTTTATCATGTGATATAGCTTTTTCTATAGCCTACTTAATTTATTACAACAAAACAAATAACAAATTAATACAAAACAAGTGATACGAATGAAAACTATGTTATTTCAGATATTATGCGTATGGGATTTAAGACAATAAAAATAAATATATCTGCTGGTAGATCTCTTGCCAGAAATACCTGAATATCACCCAATGCAGTGAAACACAAAATCTCAGCCTTAGACCGCAGATTTCGCGCAATTACGTTATCAGCGACTCCCTCTACCTCCAAACAAAATATATTTGAATAAAAAAAAAAACCGACTGTAGAAATTGTTAAATTTTACCCACTTTATCGGAATGTATTTCCATATCTAATTCAACATCTTGATTGATTGGTGAGAAAATTGACATTTCCGAATATTTGAAGTTACAGGATGAGGCTTCAGTCAGTGCATTACTTATTTTAACCAAATTTCGGTGATACTACATCGAAATATATTGGACACATATCCCACCGCTCGTTCCAACGGGCCCAACGAGTCGAAAAAAAATATATAAAATTTCATACAACATTTATTTTTGCCTTTGTTATGTCCGGATTATCAGCTTATGTAATAAATCGATTTCTTGTTTTGAGTAAAATAATAAAAAAACATTTGACTTAATATTAACATGTATTAATTGAGTTGTAATGAATCATACATTTCAAGAAACATAAGTTGCTTCCAGTAAAGTAGACTAAATAATTTTTTGTTATGAAAAAACAAGTAAAATTCCTTTTTAGAATCCTTTGAAACTCTTAAATGTGAATTTTTATGGAAATAAAAAAATGCAAAATTTAAAACTTGATGATCTTAAAGGATTTTTTTTCTGGCATAAAACTAAATCATTCATAACTTCTCAGGATTTTCTCCAAATTCAATTATAGTCCAACTGTTGGAAAGCTGAATTACTTCTGTTCCAATCCACGCACATGACTTAGATTTCATTCCTTTTTAAATTGGAAAATAAACAAATACTTCCCAATCATTTTGATTTTATATTGTTAGTTATAATTTGTTAATGGAGGTCTGTTATGTAACCTTTTGTGTAGCATAAAAATAATTAATTCTTGATCTTTAATAATAGTTCTGAGAATTAGTAGAGCCGGTCTAAAGTTGTCACAATCTTTGTGACTAGGCAACCTAGGCAAATATTTGGTGCAGAAAATTTTAATTTTTCGATTGCTATGAAAATTAGTATTTATGTGTTTTTGATGTGCAGAAAAATAATATCAACTTGGTTTCTGCTAATAAAAATATTTACTCTAACAATGCTACGTTCGTTGGTCCATATTGTAGCCATCTGCCAAATCGTTTACCCATACCTATACTTAAACAAATTAAAATGCTCACAACGAAATATAAATAAATATAGCGGTTTCGTTTACAACTGACACTCTTGTCCGACTAAAGAAGTTTTGGGTCACTCTTATAATAGACTAAAATATATATTTTTAGAACAAAAAATGCATACATTTAATAGGCTAGACCGATAGGAAAAACCATAAAATATTTAATTATTTTAAATTAATAAGTGGTAACTACTATTATTTTTGTTTTCACTTCTATATGTATCAAAATATCTATTACTCCTCAAAGTAAGTGAAAGTTGTATAATGTACAACATATTATATAAATTGGTTTGTACTCGCATCTTTTGGCTCAACTTGCTTATAATATTAGATTATAGACCAGGAAACGTTCTTTGTTACTGATTCGAAATCAAAAACCCTGTACCACTACAACCCATGTAGGGTCTTGGGTTCAGTACTATTTAGGGAAAGTATTGTTTCATGGACAATGGTTTTGCAAGGAGGAGATCGGGCCAGGATCACGCTCAACCGTCAGGTTTTCCCCCTTAATAACTTATTTAATTAAGGGTACTCACTTTATAGAGGCTGGGTGGGTGTGCCCCACAGGAGGGTCTCCCTACCCCAGGATCTCCCTACCCCAGGGTCTCCCCACGGCCAATGAAACAGAATAAATAATTTTTCTGCCATGAGCCGGGATTCGAACCTGGGACCTTCAGCATTGGAACCTTAGTGCCTAACCACTGATCTACACCGTTCCACTGATTCGAAATCAAATAAATAGAAAATAATCGTTGGCTTAGAATAATCTTTTTCTTATTGACCAAGGTTTTACGTGGTGTAGATTGATTGTATTCATGAATGAGCTATTCCGTTGTCGCATTAATATATCAATAATTCAGGAAAGAAAATCGTCTTAAAAATTGGTTAAAAAGCGTTCTTATTTTCAATAAAGTTTCATGTATCATCCCCTGATTGCAGGAAACTTATATTAACCAAGTTGAAAAAAAAAAAAGAAAAAGAGCTATGCATAGAAGTATAGTGTATTAACATTCTTTTCATAATAACATTTACCTATTCTTAAATTGTATTTATTTATTTATTTTTTATTATTTCTTAATGATATTTACAACTGTATTAAATAAATACATCTAAAAAATTTGAACATATGAATATAATGACATGAAAACACTTGCAGAGTAACTACCCAATGGTAGCACTCTAATGATATGTCTACATTAGGAGATCACGGGGCCATTTTTTTTTCAGACGCCTCGGAGGGTTATCAGGAATTGAAGAGGAAGCTTGCTTAGAAGGTTAGAAACGAGAGGGTTGGGATGATTCTGAAGTTTATTATGGAATTATAGGTATCTGGATTGGGGAAGGTTATCTACCTATGATAAAGTGTTATTGTGCTTCTCAGTGTTTTGTGTTTTTCAAGTTTGTTTTGTTAGTTTTGTTGTATCGTTTCCTACTGTTTGTGTTATTTTAGTGTTTTATAGTTTTTTTTGAACATGATTTAGTTTTAGTTTATGTTTATTTAGTTAATTTTATAAACTTTTTGAGTGAACAGTGGAGGTTAAGGTTAACTTTGTGGTTTTCACGAAGGTTTAATCTAACCAAAAGGACGTTTAGAGACTATTACGTTGGTGAAGCACTAAGGTAAGTTCATATTAAAGTCTTACTTTTGAAGATAGGAAATTTATAAGTTTCCCGAACGTAGGTTAGATTTTGAGTGTTGAATATTTCCTTCTACTGTTGTTCACCCATTATTTCAACGTATAAAGTTGTTAATTTTGGATTGCGTAAGATGGCTGATGAAATTGCATCAGCAATGGAGCAGGAAATGGTGGAAGAACAGGCTATAAAGTGCCCAAGGCCTTCAGCAAAGAGGCAAAGGAAAGGATCTCCTGACGCCCGTGAAGAAGCAGATAAAGAACGTGTAGACGATAGTCTTCTGCAAGATGCACGTAGAATCAAAGAAAACATCAGGGTCTACATGAACGCAACAGACAGGAACGTGAGTGCGAAGGTACAAAAGCACGTTAATGGGAAAATGCAGCAGTTAATAGATATAATGGAGACAATATATGATAAGAACTATGAAAAAACGTTTTTAGTACAACGTGTGGTAAAGGACACATTAGCTTCCTCTGAAATGTATGATATCATAGTAAATGCATTAGTGGAAAAAGCAGTACCTATGGTTATCGAGGGACTCAAGTCGGAAAGTAAAACCATACAAAGACCACTGTCAGAACCTCAGACATCTCGGGAGTTTCCATGCGTTAAAGAACAACCGCTATTAGCCGATGCCCACGCTATTATTGAGACCACGGAGAATGAAAGTTTCCAGGAAGTAAAGAAAAAGCAAAGAAGGAAAAAGGCTCTTCCACAAGTGGCCAAAGAGATCGAGGCCTCTAAACCAATATCAGAGGAAAGTTTGACCAAGAAAAGGTCTACACATCAGACTACGATGGCCGATATTGTTAAAGGGCTTCCATTAAAACCGATGGATACTACAAGACCAACTTATGTTACCATCGCTTCTCAAGGTAAAAGTGCAGCTGACATCATCAACAATCTGCCTTCTCCAACTGAACTAGGAGTCAAGGCGAGAGTTGTACGGGCGACCAAAGCTGGCTCAGTTTTAGTTTGTGTAGATGAGGGTGCCCATGCTAAAAAAATAATTGAATGGCAAAAATTAAAAGAAGTTGGGATGGAGGCAAAACTAGCCTTAAAAAGAAAACCAAAAGTGGAGGTAAAAGGAGTTCCCCTTTCATGGAGTGCGGAAAATCTAGAAAGGGTGCTATGGGAAAGGTTGGCTGCAAAATCGGCCGTTATTTCTGAGAACCAATTAGGTAATATAAAGCCATTGTTCTCATCAATGGCTAGAAATAAAATTACCAATAATTGGGTGTTAGAAGTACATCCAATGGTAAGATATAATCTACTCAAGGAGGAAATAATTACAGGAGGTTGGTGGTCACTGACAATCTTAGATTACCCCGATGCTCCTCCCTGTCTAAGGTGTCAGGGATATGGACATACAAAAGCTACTTGTGAGGCAAATGGCATAGTATGCAAGTGGTGTGCGGCGAGTGGGCATATTGCTAAAAACTGTCCCGCAAAAGGAAATAAGACCGCACCTACATGCGTTAACTGCGTGAGGGAAGGTGTTCAAAAAAGTAAGGCTAAACACCAGGCAGGAAGTAGAGAATGCCCAGTGCACATCAAGAGATCTCAAGAATTAGTGAGGAGAACTCACTATGATTAGACTCAACATCCTGCAGTTGAATATGGGCCGCCGGCATATTGTGGCTGACGAGCTTCGCGCCATGGCACAACGCTACGATATCATGGCGGTCCAGGAACCTAGCTGCCGTGGGAACAGGGTTACGGGGTTTGGCCTCACGTCAAGAGTTATAG